GCCCCACGGATCCCATTAGTGGATTAAGATACGCCTCTGCCCTATACTGAGCCTTGTGTAGCCTGCAGGTCCATTCTGAGTGACAAAAATCTTCCAAAAAAGTGTGAAATAAAGCTAAGAGAAAAGAGGAGATAGCGAGGTGAGGACAAAAGCTGTTGAAGAGGAAAATGTCAGGGTTGAAGCGCTAAAGCTTCACCTGTAGCATCTCTTTGTTGGAGCTGTCCACACACATTCACTCGCTTTATCTCCAAAGTGCTTGTGCGTCCTTCTTCTATTTTCACTGAAGTAACACCAACCAGAACTGTTTTGTGGGTTGCATTTGATGGTCAGTTGGTTATTCTGCTTGGTTTCTGGTCATATTTAAAGGGCCCACGTTATATTATTTTCTGATCTATATTATAATGTTGTTTCCTTCTCACAAACATAGTTGATTCATTCACACATTTGCATATTTAGGCTGAGTTCTTCTCTCAAACAGAAAACGCAATGTTCCACCTTGTGATGTCATGTGGTAATAGAGCTAAGTGCGCCGCTGTGTTTTTAAACTCCATGCACCTTCAGTTGACTAATTTGGATCATTACAGCCCTTGAATTGCCCATCTTTACTGAACTAATGACATCACAAATTGTAACAGAGCATTTTGAGCTTTTGTGATGTAGACACACTAATAATAGCATTACTATAAATGTAATAATAGGGTAGGGGTCTCCAATCTGTAGCTCAACCCCTTCTAAGTAGCTCACCGAGGGATTTATGAATGGATTGTGCTGAATGAGTGAAATATGATGAATGAAATGCCTTTTTCCACTGTACATGTCATTTTGATGCCTAACTTTGTGTGTAATAAATGGGTAATGGTTTATGTTTTATAGGCATCTAAATGTACCTCATCTAAGGCTCACCGTGGCTCTTAAATTTGCTCAATTTCGTGTGACTGCTAAAACGAGTAGCTCTCTGGCTTTTTTGTTTTGGAAAAGTAGCTCACCGGAGGACAAAGGTTGGAGACCCGTGTAATAGGGTTACTAAAACACGTGAATGAAACATAACAGAAGTCCAGGTATGTTTTTGAGGAGGTAACAACATCACAAGAGACAATTTGATGTAACTTTTAATCTCTACACAGTGGCATTCCAGAGGTAAAGTAGACTTGTTTTGATCAGATAAAATATAACTTGCATAATCAACATTTTGGACATATTTCTTTACGATTAGCTTACTAAGAAATAAATGTAAATATAGTAATTTAGTCCCCAATACTAAAGATCTGTCTGCTTTTCAAACTAGGGCCATACATGATTGGTACTATAACATTATGTATTTTCACTTCTCCATCACTATTTTGAGCTGCACTGTAAGGAACTGCATTTGCATCTTTATAAATCCACTCCAGATAGAGACGCAAGACATATGAAAAATAGTTGTTTTGGAGAATAAAGATATGCAAACAAAAAAATCAAGTATAATGTTGCTAATTCAGGAAATCACAGTCTATACAAACTGTCCCTTAAGCTAGGAACATATGGCTTGGCTGCACTGAATGTGAAGAATTAAGACCATTTTTGTTACAGTCCGAATCTGAATAATTTGAATTAGAAAAGGCCAAGCCAACCATCCAAATAGCCAGCATTCCACCCACAAGCTAGCCAATTCCTATTTAAATGCAAACCAAAAGAAAATGCGATCAACACTACACATGAGAAACTATGATGAGCAGAGAAAATGCAGAAGGAGCTGCTCTGATAACAGTGTTTCTATGGCGCTGTGTGTGCATCATTGATCCATTTGTCTTTATTATGTAAAATGTTCGAGATATTCATTTTTGTCAATACTGCCGAGACACCAACCCCTATTTCCAGACATCAGGAAATTCATATTTTAAATCAATAGGGACCATATGAACTTTCTGTATACTTAAAATGGGGACACACTGATCTACTTCAGAAATCAAAATAAATGTTTGTTACTTTCGGAATCTGAATTTGAATCAAAGAAGTGTCCAAACGGGAGCGTGCCAATGTTCCTCAGCCCTATGTTCCATCATTTCCAAGTTTTTTCTTTTTTTTTTCCTTTCCAAAATTAGGCCCTGTGTTCCCACATTTCCTTTATCATCAATTTGCATCAGAATTTCTCCCAATTTGGTCGTCAATTACACCCAATCTATTATCCAGCAGCAGTCATGGTGCAAAGGATCCTAGGTTGAAATGACTCTGAAACATCCCTTTAAATGCAGTACAGAAATAAAATAAATAAAAAATAAAAATACTTGACTTAGAGTGTAATTTCAAGAACAATCTTAGCAATAAGGGAATGTAGAGTTGAGGGAACATAGGGCTGACCCCTCCAGTCAACCACCCAACTAGACAGCATTGCCCCACAAACTAGTCAGTAAAGGTCCTTTCTTGCTCAGACTTGATTCTTGTGAGTTGTAAGCCATGTTATAATATTGTTACCTCCTCAAAAACATACCTGTTTGTTGTATGGAGTTTAAAAACCCATTGGAGCACTTCCCGTATTACCACATGACATCACAAGATGGAACAGAGTGTTTTCAGCTTCAGAGAAGACTCAATATGGTAAATATGCAGGATTTGTGTGTTTAACATGTGAGAATGAAACAAAACACAACTCCAGGTATGTTTTTGATAAGGAAACAGCATTATAATATCACTCAGTATAATCTGGGCCTGTTAAATGCAAACCAATAGAATAATGCAAACAATACTAGGCAGCCAATCCTACTTATATTAAATGCAAACCAATAAAAATCTTCAGCAAACCACCCAACTAGACAACTGCAAATAGACATTCCTCCCACAAGCTAGCCGATCCACTCTTTGAATACAAACCAATTTAAACCTCCAATCAATACTACGGTATATATGAGAAACCATGATGAGCAGAGAGAATGCATAAGGAACTGCTCTGATAACAATGTTTTTATGCCACAGTCTGTGCAGCACTGATCCATTTGTCTTCATTAGACCACGTAAAATATTCTCGATATTCATTTTTGTCAATATTGTCAAGACGCCAACCCCTATTTCCAGGAAAATCAGGAAATTCAAATTTAAAATCCATACAAACTACATACTGCGTACTCACAGATCTAACTGTTACTGTCCATTGAATGTTTTGAACAGAAAAAACTGTCAAGTCAACTATACATCTAACCAGCATTCCCAACTCAAAATGCAAACCAATGTGACTCAAATAATTTGAACTGAAAAAGAGTCTAGTTAACCACAACAAGCCAACCCCACCTTTAAACGCAAACCAGTCAAGCTAATTTTTATTTCTATCTTAGTCTGAATCTTTAAACCTGAGCAAACTACCCAACTCGTCAGCTTTCCTCACACAAACTAGCCAATCTCACTTTAGGAATAGTCTGATTCATCAGCCGGTTTCACTTCGTGGAAACCGTTTGACCTCGCAGCGTTTGAATTCGTTCATTCGACTGTAGAGGGGTAATTTTTTCATTTAACCAATCACTGCTATTTGGTCATGGCGTATGTAATGGGGCTAACTGGTATATTAAGCTTTTCCCAAATCCCATAGGAAGAAGGGCAATAACGTCTTTCCCCTTGATAAAATTCACCAAACATTCTCTTTGTTCCGGCTTTAAATCCTCGATCTTTGGAATCATTGCCAACACAGAATGTATGGCTCTTCGCTGATTGGCTGGTGTACTGTCAACTGTATTCGATTCCTGACCTAGTCACTGGAGAGAAATGAAATTGAGCGGAGGCACTAGGTCGCGCAAGCCCAGCTACTTTTGGAATACAAGCCAATTACAAAATGCAACCAAGATTATATATGAGAAATGGTGATGAGCAGAGTGAATGCAGAAGGAGCTGCTCTAATAAAAATGTTTCCATGCCACTGACTGTGCATCACTGATCCAACCAAAATTTCAAGACATCAGGAAATTCAAATGTAAAATCAGTAGTGACCGTACAAATGTTCAGCATGCTCTATTGCTGGGGACATATGGTTTGACTGTAGAAAATTGGAGCCAGCCAACCACCCAACTAGCCTGCATTCCTCCCACAAGCAACCCAATTTAAATTCAAACCAATGGAAAAATGCGATCAACACTACATATGAGAAACAGTGATGAGCAGGGAGAATGCAGAAGGAGCTGCTCTGATAACAATGTTTCTATGCCACTGTCTGTGCATCATTGATCCATTTGTCTTCATTATGGCTCTGTGTGAGGACTATTAGCTCCTGCCACGCTCCTTCTCCAGACTGCAGTGTTGACATGCACCGCAGGGTCTCCACCAATGTCCTTGCCATCTCAATATTACAGGCAGAACCGATAGAAATATTTAACTGGTGAAATAGGATGTGGGTTTTAAATTTATATTAGGAGGTTGCTATTCACTGCAGAGGTCAAAGACTGTAGCCTTTTTCAGATCAGATCCAAGAAAGTCTATATTTCATCTGTTTTGTCACGTTCTCTAATCATTATTTATGTGCGCTGTGCTCACTTCACTGTTGACCCAATTAATTGTTGCATAAGAGTTAATTAAATTCCACCCACTCAAATTGAAGGAACAATGTAATCTAGTACGTGTGAAAGAGAACTTTTGCAGACTGCAGATTTTCACAAATTATCATAAGGAAGAAAACATCTGTGTCGCAATATGAGACCAAAATGGGCCAGCTGCCACGATGCTGTATTTTTGAACTCTGCACAAGAAATGTGCCAAGTGCTGAAAGCTTTGATTCATATTGTTGTTGCTGTGACTCAGAGGCACTGTATAAAGAGGGCTTTAATTATTCTGCAGCTCACCTTGGTAGGGGTCATGGTTGTATTCTGAGATTTCACAAGATAACCTGGTTAAATACCTCATTACACCTTCCTGACCTTCTGTCTTCTGTGTTTTACAGATCGGACTATTTCCTGGTTTGGTCTGCTTGGAGCCAGCACAGAGAGGAGAAGCATGAGCTGCTGCTGCGGTGGCGGTTGCTATGTGTGACACAGTGAGGTGGGTCAATGGAGACCGAAGGCTACCGTGACCTCCTGGAGACCAGCGATGGGCAGGGGGTGAGCCCGCTGGACGGAGGGGGCGGAGGGGCAACGGACGAGGCCTGGAGCACCCCCTACCCTCTGGGCTTCCAGGTGTCTCTGACCACAGTGCTCATGCTGGAGCTGGTCCTGGGCTTCAGCAGTAACCTGACAGTGCTAGTGCTGTACTGCGCTCAGTCTAACCTGGTGGACTCTGTGAGTAACCTGGTCACTGTGAACCTCCACGTGCTGGACATCCTGGTATGTGTGCTCTGTCTGCCCCTCACTGTGGCTGTCATCCTGGTGCCGGCAAATGGGAGCGGAGTGGGGAGCCTGGCCACTCTGTGCTGTTTCCATGAGGCCTGTGTCACTTTCACCAGTGTGGCCACAGCAGTCAATGTGCTGGTCATTAGTTTGGATCGTTATGACATCTCTGTGCGTCCGGCGAGCCGCCTGCTGACCCCGCGCAGAGCTGGGCTGCTATTGGCTGCGGTGTGGGCGGTGTCTCTGGCTGTGTTCTTTCTGCCGTTCCTCGAGGGGGACTTCTTCTCCAGCAGTGAGGATGAGGAAGATGAGCCTGATGACTCTGAGATCACCATTGGTCCAGCCCTGTCTTTCTCCACTTCCCCCTCCGCCATGCCCCCCTCCCATCCTCCGCACCACCTGAGCCCAGCCTGGCAGAACCGGACACTGCTGTGCGTGGGGGGACAGGGCTACTACACGGGCATGGCCATGTACTATCACCTGTTACTGCAGGTGCCCTGTTTCTTTGTGGCGGTGGCCGTCATGTTGTTCACCTACTCCAGGATCCTCCAGGCCCTAAACATCCGCATCGGCTCCCACATGATGAGAGGCTCTCGCTCTAAAGACTCCACCTGCAGAATCCGCTGTCGGAGGCAGAAGAGGAAGGACCTGAGCCTGCCCACAGACGCAGCCTCCTCCAACCAGAACCAGAATGCCTCCCACCCTCCGCTCCTCCCCTCCCCCACCCCGACCCCAACCTCTCCCCCTACCATGTCCTCCTTCCCCCCGGGCATGTCCGACAGCGGAGCAACAGTCACTACAGTGAGCACCGCAGCTACTACCCCCATCGCCACCACGCCCGCCACCCCGGCATCCCCCACCCAGCCCTGTGCGTCCGCCCAGACCCACAACACCCCTCTGCCCGCCTCCTCTGTGGGGGTCCAGGCCTCGGTGTCGGCCATCATCGCTTTGAGAAGGGCAGTGCGCAGACATAGAGACCGCCGAGAGCGTCAGAGGAGAGTGCTCAAAATGTCCCTGATCATCATCTCCACCTTTATGGGCTGCTGGGCCCCCCTGTCTGCGGTGAATGTAATCATTCTGTGCATGGGCCCCAGCGACGGGCTGGTACGCCTCCGCCTCTGCTTCTTGGCAATGGCGTATGGAACTACAATATTCCACCCTCTGCTCTATGCCTTCACCCGGCAGAAGCTACGGCGAGCGCTCAAAACACGCGTCAAGAAAAGGGTGGTGTCTCTTTTGCAGGTGGACCCAGCTCCGAGCGGGGGGACTGTCATTCATAACTCTTGGGTGGAGGGAGGAGGGCAGAGGAAAGCTCGGAAGTCCAGAGTGGAGGCCAGCGATGGGACTGACCGCTGCCTGACAGAAGCAGTGAGAGAGTGACACTATTGAATTTAAATGTGGACATTAATGAAAGACTATATGAAACAGATATTTATTATAAGGACACATAGTAATGGGTGATGACCTACGAAGAGCCATTGCGTTTACAGAGGTCATGAGAAACCTATGGGGCTTTCACGCAGATTTACATTATTAGAGCTACTATACTCTACACTTTACTCTGTACCAGCAACACCCGACACAGCAACTCCGCAGCAGCACTTGCAAAGCCTCACAGCACTATGACCACCTGTTGGACTCCCCGCGTGCACCCATGGGTGTCAAGACGAAGCACCCGTTTTATACATTACTGCTCCTGCGTGCACTTTTAACCTGCATGTGCTTCTACCAATGCACAGAGGCAGACATCACTTGCACTCAAACCCACATATTAAACTACACGTACTACATTTGAATATTTTCTGTCAAAGCACACTGGTACCTACCTGCACAGATTCTCTCAGCGAAATATACATACATGGTTGTTGTCCCCTGATTTTCCAATTTTTCATGCCTTAATTCGGTTATTATCAATTCTATTAGTAAATCCTTGTGGTGCTGAATGTCTCACTATATGTTTACAAAGATGTTTTAGTCTGCACATATCTTAATAATAAAACAATAATTAAAATGCAGATAAATGCAAGAAATCAAGTTTACAGGCAGCAAACTGCAAAAAATATATCAAATTTAATTTAAAACATGCACCATATTGTACTCAAAAGTCTCCAACATAAGCTATAAGGCATGATGTTTATTTCGTTTTGTAAAAGAACCATATAATAACATTGGTAATATTAATAATACAATACATCTTTGGTATGGGTGTGTTTCTAGGCCTGTGCATGTGTGTGGTTGCGTAATGGGGATTTAATGGGAGACACTGAATACCTAAGAAGTTGTGCAATAAAATATACAATCACTAAGCAATGACCCTCTGGATGTGAACGCAGAAGAGAATGTACAAGCACTGTTACTGCTGATGGATTAAAACAATGGGAGGCCTGAGGGGAGGGGGACGATATCTTCTCATCAAACACTGCATTAAACTGTAACTATGTGTATATGACAAGCCACTGTAATCTTGCTCCAGATTTATTACTACACAATGGAAATCAAAGGGCATTTTTACGTGAATCTTCCAATGAGATCATCTCTTTGGGAATAGCAGGCTAAATAGGATCTAGATAGTTCTGGAAATGAGATGTTGTGTGTTGAGAGCAGAGCTTGGTTTAGCGGGTTGAGTCCTGGACACAGTATTTTTATGTGTCTTTCTCCTCAGGGCTTCAAGTCTCATTTTGAAATGTGTTAAATCTATGTCCAAAAGGCAGGGGCACGGTGTAAAATGTAAATAAAATGAACAAAAACTTACTGTTGTTAAGAGTGTGTTAATACAAACCAGATGTATCTTTTGGTCTTTCCTTGTCAAAAACCTCTCCATTCATGCCAACACCTGGAAATTAGAGATTCATTTATCACTGATTCTTTGACAGATGCCCTTCCTGACAAAGTCTACTCCATTACATTGGCTCATTTGTTTATTAAAAATGTCTGTTATTATCATGTATAATGGAATCCAGCTATGTAGTGAAGCTTTTTATCATTTCCTGCTCAGTAGTTTGAGACATTCTTCAGATTACAAGTAACTAATAATGCCTTTTATGTTTTATTTTTATTTTATTTGGTTAACTGTGCTAACTGACAAGGCGACATGACATGGCGGCCTCTCCTAACACCACCATTATTCAACAAGAATCAAACCACCGACCTTTTTAGGTAACGGCAATATATTCCAATTTCAAAACATAAATAGTGCTGGGAAGAATACTTTGAAAATGTATTTAGTTACAGAATACTGCATGTGTTTGTAATGTACATGGTCCAATAACTGTATTCTGAATACTTTGAATACTTACTCACGCAGGGTTGCATATAAATTAAAGTGTAAAGATGCAATGCAGTATTAAAAACAGCTTTACCATTGTTACTCTATATGTTCTGCATTTATTTATTAATGCTGATCAGAGAAAAATCACACATGCCTCACCAGAAGAGCAGTGTTTTCAATTTTTCTCACTGATTCTGCACAATTTGATCAAGTACCGCCTTGTATTCCTTTGATTTTAGAAAAGTAACTGTATACTGAATACCATCAAATGTGAATGTAATTGTTCCGGGAATACAGTTACTCAAAATTAGTATTCAGACAAAGTATTCTCGATATATGTATTCAGTCACTTCCCAACACTCAGGGTGCAGGAGCAAAAGGTTTTAGGGGCTCAAAATTGGACTCTCTTACTATTAATTTATATTAGAGGGTCCCATGTGTGGCTTCTTGCTCTAGGCCTCCACATTTCTGTTGACAGGTCTGCTAACACGCCATATAAATAATGACTATGTACACATAATATTAATAATGTTTGTTTCATCTGAATAGCATCCTGCTGAATTGACATTTTACACAGTGCTCCTGCGTTTTAGATTTGAGCTTGTAAACAATAACTCACTTGTGTAATGTATGTGAACACAGCAGTAGGCTCAGTCCAGTGTTTGAACAGATTTAATACATTTGTATGTATGGGCTCCACGACCTATGGGCTATCCTCATCATCAAACCTTTTACACTGAAGCGAAGCAGGAGAGAAGCAGGTCTGTGAATCGATGTACATTTTCAGGGATGTAAATATGACGTGTCTGCTTTGAGGTTTTTGGGTCAAACAATTTTTTTTGGTCACAAACATCTGCCGGACAGAACGTAAGCTATTGTGATGAAGAACTTTACTGTAAAGAAATACATATAACTGTATTTGTGTTAATACTCTATGTGTGTACACTGTAATGTACATTTCTGATCATGTGAATAGAAGATTAGTATTGTATAAGATTTATATCATGTGTTATTGTATAGAACAGAACAAATCCTATTATTAAAAAGGTTATCTATCTAAGCGGGTCTTTTTCTGTCTGTTGTGTCCATACGACGGTAACTTCTGTGGAGGGTCCGTCAGATGCTTTTCTCCATGGAGATGTTATTGCTTTGTCTGGAATGTTTCACAGTATGGCATTAAACCTTTCCATCTTCATGGAGACCAAAGCAGGCTGAGTTACAGGTCAGATCTGTGGAGAGGCAACCCCGCTTACAGTTAGAATGCCTGTTTTTCGAGGTATTTTTGAGCTTTAAAACCACCTAAAATCTAATAAATGTAAGGTAGAGCTGTTTGATGTCACACTGTGGAACATTCCAGGCAGTGCAATGTCATCTCCATGGAAACAAGCAGGTGCTGGATAGCCAGGCTGGCGCCACCTAGTGCCTCCGCTCAATTTCATTTCTCTCCAGTGACTAGGTCAGGATACACAACACACTAGATGGTTCGCAAAAACCCCAGAAGTGCGAGTTCGGGCACCAGCCAATCACCGAAGAGCTGTGTTGGCAACGATTCCCAAGATCGAGGATTTACAGCCGGAACAAAGAGAATGTTTGGTGAATTTTATCAAGGAGAAAGACGTTATTGCCCTTCTTCTTTGGGAAAAGCTTAATATACCTGTTAGCCCCGTTAGTGGCGCATTACATGTCACGACCAAATAGCAGCAATTGGTTAAATGAAAAAAAGAACCCGCCTACTGTAGAGCGAACAAATCCTAATTCTTCGTCAGACGGTTTCTACAAAGTGAAACCGGCTGATGAATCAGGCTAGGTGTTGGACCCTCTACCAGAAAAGTTACGCAATGCAAAAATATTTATACTTGAATTTTTTGAATGTGTAGTTTTTAATCTGAGGGAAAATAATAATAATAGTAATAACGGGCAGAATTTTATCATTAAAAAAATATATTATATGGAACCCTAAATAAGCACTTGATTTATAGATTACTTGTGTTATGTGTAAATCACGCATGGTCAGTAAATGTGAGATTTTTACATTATATGCCTCACATAAAGCTATAGTGATTGCACTCAAGGCTACCCTGGCAGAGTATATTTACATGCAAAACAGGTTTTTCATAAAAATGTACACACAACATGAGTCATTAAAATGCACATACTGCTTTGTCTGAGTCATAACACCTCTGCCCTCAATACATGGCATGTTTTATGTTTGTATGGACCAGATAAAAATATATTAGATCAGTTACAAAATCTTTCTATAATAAATGAGTTATGATGAACTGATTAACTTGTCTCAGGCCTAACTGTGATTGGCCGAGGTAAATGCTCCATGTATTGAGACACTAAGGCTTTTGTATCTACAATGACACAGAAACCACTCATTGACCTTTTCCACTTGATCCCACTCACCCCCGCTTGGCTCTCCAGCTTTCAGGCTTCACCAGTGGGACGTGTGAGCCGGAAATGCTTGGTACCTGACATCCACAGACAGCTTTGGTCATCTTTAGTCATCTTTAACGGTGTCAGTTCTGTCCATCAAAGCTTCCTTGCATCCAATCTAGATTCATGGAGAAAATAAAGCAAATGTTAATGACCTATACTCAAAATGTAGTAGTCCATCATTGTTCTGTCACTTAAAGGGCCCATATTACGCCATTTTCTCATCTGTTATAATGTTGTTTCCTCACCACAAACACACCTGGAGTTGTGTTGTTTCATTCGCACGCAAATCCTCCATATTTAGGCTTCTTCTCTCATAACACTGTCATCTGGTAATACAGGAAGACCTCCACAGTAGTCCAATCATTTGGTCTTCCGATATTTTATGTTATTAGGCTCTTTTTTCAGACCAAGAGTTTGTTTTCATACCTGACAGTTTGGACTGTTCACTAGCGGTCTTCCTCAGAGTGGTCACATGATGTTGCTGTGATGTGTTTTGTCAGCAGCGGTGTTTGTTTTCCTCTGTCCCAATGATGTTTACCCCATCAGAACAACTCAAATCGGCCATCTCTGACCACTGTAAAAGAGAGAACCACATTATGGACTGGGACGGAGCAAACGTGATTGGGACAGAAGAAAACAAACACCATCGCTGGATTAAAGAGGCAATCGA